GACTCACTGCAGTTCTCTTCACTTTCTGTGGATGCAGCAGCTCAGAAAAAGAGAAAGCAGGCTTCATTTTCTCACAGAGGACTTGTGAGACCTTTTATGGAGTTGTAGAAAAACTATGATATCTTGTTAGTATAAACAACCTGCAGGTGGTGTTTTCCTACTCTGTTTTTCTGCTCTTCTCAAGGACTGTTTGTGAGAAAGATGTTTTTGTTAGCCAATCAAGTAGAATGTGTTGAATCTCTAAAAGAGAGGATTTTTTGTGTTAAACAATCTTCTCCTGCAAACCAGCCTTCGAATGAATTTGTGTCATTTCTGGCTCAAGGGTGACAACCTTCCTTTACAAGTGTCCTTTCCTAGTGCTCTTCTGATGTGATGCAAAGAGTGAACACAAATCCAGGTGTACTCACAGCTGTGGAGTGGATTTTGAAACCTGGAGGCAGACATTCCTTCTGTAAGGAAAGACAACTGAGATGATTGCCTGCCATGTCTGAAGTCATCTCCTTGTGCTTTTTCAGAACGTTAATACCTGCTTGCCTTTAGAACCAGACTCTGTGAGTGATTTCACATGGGGAGCAACAGCCACATCAAATGTCCTCTTACAAGTAAGCACAGAGGACTGATGGCGAGCGAGAGAAATTCATTAACATAAGAAAAGTCAATAAAAATACATGATTCACCACTCACACCATCTGAGACTGAAACACAGACATCTTATAATTTCTTCTTGCTTTCATAAAATAATAGGTAGAGCTCCTGGGTGTTCTGCAAAGCATCCATCTTAGCTGAGGTTCCTTTTTATCACAAGAGCAGTTCAGAGAGGCTGGCCCTTGTAGAAGGGAGCAGAACCCTGTTATCTCCAGTAAACAGCTTTCTTGCTTTGGGATACACCTCCACCAAAAGTTTCTGTTTCAGCATCTAACCCCTGTTTTGCAACACTCATGCAATAAAAGCAGAAATGAAAGAGTGAAGTTTTTAAGTGAAACATGCTCCTCTTCAACAAGTCATGCTTTAGCTGAACACAGCCTAACTGGATGTAATTATTTGGCCTATTCTATTTAGGGGAAAGAAAAAAAAATATCATTCCTTCTAGTATTACCTTCTATTGATGTTCTTTATGTTCTGGAAAGATTAAAAATATGGTCTAGTAATCAAGTAAGGTCTTAGAGAAAAAAGTCTGTGAGATTTCAAATGGAAAAAAACCCCACATTTATTTTAGAAAGAGACACTGCAATATCAACCCACATTTACAAGAAATCAGCTGAGAGACTGGTGGGGGTGATATGGATCCAGTCAAGACAAAGGGGCAATGGGCAGAAACTGATGCACAGAAAGTTCCACAGGAACAGGAGGCAGAACTCCTTCCTGTGCAGTGACCAAGCATTGAATAGAACCCAGAGAGGCTGTGGAGTCTCCCTCTCTGGGGATATTCCAGAACTGTCTGTTCTGGACACAATCCTGTGCCCTGTGCTCTGGGATGACCCTGCTGGAGCAGGGAGCAGGGACCAGGGGAGCCACTGTGGTCCCTTCCAACCTGACCCAGTCTGTGATTCTTATTGTTGCTACCTAAGGAGTCTGAAAATCCACTGAATATTGCTTCTGTCTTTAATGTGAAGGAGGCTATTTAAGGACTGCATGGACAAACTGCATTTTCATGGACGAGCTTTCAGCTTGAGGAGAGACAAGGGTTGCTGACTCGAAGAATTGAAGTTAATGTTTAATGAAAAAAATGTTTCTTCCAGAACACTGCAGAAATGGGATAAATGTCAATGCTCTCAAGAAAATTTAGCTCAAAGTTCAGGAGATCTAAGAAATATTTCTGTCCCAGTGTGGAGGCAATATGCACCTTATTCCACCTCCCTGGTCTCCACGCTGTGGCTACAAGAAGAGCACACACCAAGGGAGAAAACTGAAGATTAATGTGCACCCAAGTCATGCTTTGTAAATCCACGTTGACTGAGGAATCCTTGTAGCTCAGACTTCAGTGAACTGAGCTCAGAGTCTTAAATAATATCAGCCTCTTCTAGGAGACATCCTGGCCCTACTTTAAACTGTGTCAGCCAACAAACATGACCAAAAAGGGCACTTTCATTCACCTGGCCTCTATAGCCAAGTATTTAAGGGAACTTCCTTTACCATGAAAGCAATTGCTCTTGGAAATTTCTATTTCTTCTGGAAAATAAATAGAAAACACTTGCAGATATGGTGCTGAGGGAGTATAGTTGGTGGTGCTGGTCCAGTGGTGAACCTGCCAGTGCTGGGTTAAGGGTAGGACTTCACAGTCTTAGAGGTCTTTTCCAACTTCAATGATCCCATGAGTCCATGATTTAAAAGGAAAACACTGCAGGTTAGATCAGGCACAGAAATGCAGAGTATGTCTGGTCAGCTGAATGCCACTCCTAATGATGCTTGAGAGCATTCTGTAAGAAGATTATTAAATGAACATTCTTTCTCATTCTTTAAGTCAGATAATGCCCAAGGAATCCCTTTATTTCTTACTTTTATAATTTCAGAAGCTCAAAACTCTGACATAACTGTTCACATTTATTTACATAAAGTTTGTGATATGTCACCAACACCATATTTAGATGGAAAGCTTCATTAAAAAAAATCCAATAGCTATTTAAATGACAAATTTGTGAAGCTATTTAGTAGATAAAGGAGTACAACAATATTTGTCAAACACCCTCACTCCTTTGCATTAATAGCCACCAGGATTGGGATAAATCAAATAAGGAGACATAAGGGAATTTCCTAAAGAGGAACAGTTCAACTTGTGTGTATTTTGATTGCCCTATGCAGCAGCTGGATGGACACACAAAGGCATTTGAAACGAGATGTTGGAAGTGGCTGTTCCCCAGCACCTGGAAAGGCTGTGTCAGAAACAAGGCAATCAGGAAAAAAAAATGGGAATGACCTCAGGAAAAAAAATGGGAATGACATGGCAGTTGATTCTGCTGGGAAATACATCAGACCCAAATGCAGGACCTCCTATGTACAAAGTCTCCACTGTGATGTAGGGCTGAAAGATCCAGATCTTGTTTTCATGATTTAACAGGACAGACATTCTGTGCTCTCCACAGATGCTGTGACTGGGTGTGTGTGTAACCAGGGTATGGATATTCACAATTCTCAGCAAGCAAAAACTGAGACAGTAATTCAGGCCAAACTGGGTTTCCCCAAAAGGTCCAGTGAGGAAAATAGTCCAGCTCCAAACCTTGGATAAAGCATCTTCTTTCTGGAAGTTTGTGTTGTCAGCCCTTTTAGCTTAAAGCTGGCAATACCTGAAGATAATTTGTGACAGATTCAGCTTTGTTAGTGGTGAGAGAGAAATGTTTCATTTATTTAGAAGAACAAATATTAGAGTGCCTAAATACTGGAAAATAATTTCTTCAGTATCCCTCTTTGTGTGTAAATCACCTGTACGTGTCTAGGGGCCTACACACAAATAGGGATACTGTGGCTGCTGGACCTCACTGGGAAAATAGCTAAGTTATTCTTCCTGACCAAGGAAAAAGGAAAAAGACATGGATAAACACTCTTCCAATACAGATTGTGTGCCTCTGTGTGTGTACATACCTGCCTGAGACATAAAGACATAAAATAATAACCTCAGAAAAAGTCCTGATTGAATGGACTTGACCCATTTTAAAATCTAAACACTATTAAAAGGCTCTTCTCCTGATAAGATTTCAGCAAGGAACCTTTTCTGCACCCCTAAAACATCTTAGTGTGCAATAAGGATTTCATGTATGTCATGTGAGATCTTCACTAGGAAAACCTCTATGCAATGAATATACAGGATATTCATGGCTCAGCTATGAGTAAAAAAAAAATCAATCAACTTTGCTCATGAGTTTGTCCATTTTTAATCATCTTCTGAGCAAGTGTAGGAGCTCACAGGTCCTCACAATCAAAGCTGGCTGTGTGTCCTATCCTGTGATGCAACAAGGATGAATGATCACTTTTTAACAAAGCTCTGTTTCCTCTCTTTGAGCTGCTCTGATGAAATACAGTTGCTATGAAGGAAAAAACACATATGTGCTTATTTTAGCTTTGCCACTTGCAGCCTTGATTATGTGATAGACAAGAGTTTTCTTGCTAAATATTTTGGTTTCCCTTCCACATGCGAAGACTCATTTTCAAGGAGAAAAAGCTGTGAGAGCTTTGAACTTCATTTGGATAATGGTCTAACTCTATATTAGAGAAGCAATTAGACTCTCAAGAGCAAAAGATCATTCAACAGTAAACTATTTTCTCCTCCATTTGTGAGAAAGTTTACAAACTAAGCTTTTAAACCATATAATAGATTTGGTCTCTGACCTATTTCCATTGTCTTAGCTAAGGGGAATGTTAAAAAAAAGCAATCATTAAAATGAAAAACGGAGTTGCTCTCTTCAAATTCCTCTATTCAGTAATTGCAGCTTTCCTTTTTAAGAGCTATGAATGTCCTTTTTACATTTAAATAAGTACAATAATTTCCTTTTTAAATTAAACTTTACAATGAGAACTTGTGCTCTGAGAATGAGTACTTCACTGCAAAATAAGTGCAATGAAGTACTCATTGTTGAAAGAAATTCTCTTTGCTTATCACAGCCTATATGAAGAGAGTTGATTTTCCATGTTTTATTTGCAATGCAAAATTATTTACTTTTTGGAAAAAGAGCTACAACTTGAAAATATTATTGACTACATGCAACACACTTGAAAGTCACTGCTCCTTACTGTGTGCAGCAAACCAGGCTCTGTGAGATTTTCTTAAAGGCTATTTCCTTTTTAAAATGCATACAGGCAGTGAGAAGTATGTCTGTGGCTGAATGAGCTGGTTTGTATTACAAACTGGAAAAAAACCCACATACAAGCCAGCATTTCAGACACAGAAGCACCCTGGGAAATCGAAATCACTATATTGACCTGCACTTTTTCCCTCCCATAGTGGGTGGGACGGTGTGCTCACGTCTCTGTTTCTTTTTTTTTTTTACTATATCACCCAGATCCACAGAATTAGCCAGCTCCTCTGAAGGCAAACACTCATTATCAAGCTCTCACAGCCACCTGCTCTCCAGCAATGCCTCCAGACTTTGACACCAACATGAAGTTCAAGTTCTCGATCCTGGCGCTTCTTCTGGAAGTGATTGTCATCATTTTGTATGGGATATTTGTGGATTATGACTCAGATCCTTCTAGCATGTTATACCCACGTAAGTATTTCTGTCTAAGATCTATAGAAGCTGAAATTTCTTTAAACTGATCCTTAGCAAGGTTTCTGAATAACTTATGAGACCTACTGACAAAGCTGGAAAAGAAAGTTGTGTTTTGGGGCAAGCACATTTTTCTGAGGTGTGAAAGCAACAGGCTTCAAAGACAAATCCAAATTGAGCAGATACAAAATTCTGCAAGCACCTCACTGCTGAGAAGTTTACTTTTCTGGGAGAGAAGAACCTGAGAAAAAGTTCTGGTATTTGCACGGCAGGTTAAGACTTGGAGAACTGTGTATTGCTTTGAAAGAGTCCAGCATTTTCCAGAGACAGATGGAAGTGTTTCTTGCCAGACCTTCTATCATTATTAATGTATTAAATAATTAAAATTAATAGAATGTTTCATTGCAACCATCCAGGTTTGGAAAAGGTGTCTTATGAGAAATGGAAATTGAGCTGCATATGCATAACTGCTATAAAATGTTTGTGAAACCTGGACTCCAAAAAGGGCCATAGTTTTGGTGACAAGGTGGATAAGCCCCTGCCATTTTCCAAAGCAGTGGCTCCATTAGGGAGCAATGGTTTAGCCTGAGAATGTTTCTGTTGATTTGTTGCTCTGCAAATACTTGGTGAAGATCAGAAAAAGCTCCTGGCCTGAGAAAGTTGCTCACTTCTCTCATGCAAAGATAAGACTATTGTGAATTATTAGAAAGCAAAGAGAGCTGCAAACAGTGTTTTCCTGGTGGTATTAAAGGTTTGTTGTTCAGTTTTATGTCTCTGAGGCCTCAATGACTTGCAGCCCCAATTGCAATGTGCTTGATTAGGACCATAGAGTACAGAACTCCCTGCCTGCAGGTAGCACCTGTGTAATTTTGAATGTAATTTTGTAATTTTGAACCCTCTTTTTCTCTCATCCTAACTGTCCTTTCAGTGGCTGTTACAGGGGCATGTGAAATCAGGTTGGAGTAATTGTGTGTTGTGTATTCTCACAGAGAGCTTTGCCTGGGTCAGAGAACAGCAAATGAGGGCATTATTCAGCTCCAGATGCAAGTCTGCTGATGGACATCAGGGGCTCATTGCTCACACTTAGTTTACCTCCACTGAGGTGTGGCAGTATCCCTGAGCTATGGCACCTTGGGCTGTGCCAGAGCCCACTCTCCATGAGAGTTTGGCCATGTCAATGATGTTCATAGGGCCAAAGGAAAGTTTGGGTTGGAAGGGATCTTAAAAATCACTTCATTCCAACCCCCTGCCACAGGTAGGGACACTTTCCACTATCCCAGGTTGCTCCAAGCCCCATCCAACTTGGCCTTGGACACTTCCAGGGATGGGGCAGCCACAGCTTCACTGGGAACTCTCTACCAGGGCCTCCCCACCCTCACAGGGAAGAAATTCTTCCTAATACACAATGTAATTCTCTCCTCTTTTAATTTAAAACTGTTTCCTCTTGTCCTATCTTTACCTGCCCATTTAAGAAGCCACTCTCCCACTTTTTCATAACCCCCTTTAAGTACTAGAAGGTACTTTAAGGTCTCCCCAGAGCCTTCTCTTCTCCATGCTGAACAAATGAATCTTTCTTAGCTGGAGTCATATTAAACTATCCCAATTGTATTGAACTATCCAAGTTCCTAAATTAAGTGTAGACAGTGTATTGGGAATTACTCTTGGTCCACTGTAGGTGATTGCTGGCCTAGGTAAAAGTTATGCCAAAACCCACAAGAATAGTTTGACAGCACAGGTAATGGTACTAACACTACAATACAGATCTTCAAACGTAACCTACCCAGTTAGAGATCACCTATGCTTATTTCTTCATTAATATCAGTGTCTAAAAAGTGTGGGAGGAATTTCCTGCTCTCTCCCACATCTCCCTGCACAGACAGTGTATGACTGTGTTATTCCTGCACGCTTGTCCCTTGGCTGCCCACACCACTGACCTGTGAGCAGCCTTCTGGAATGGTTTGGGCTCCTGAAAACTGGCCCCTTGACCTCCTGGCTTTAGGAATAGCATGGATAAGAGACTACTCTAAGGTGGGAACAGTGTTTTAGGAGAGAAGAACATATATTTCTTTTGGCCAGGTTGTTCAGATTACCAGTAGATACATAAACCAAGCAAACACCACTGATGTCATATTGAATTTTTAGATATTGGCCTCACAGAGGTCATCTCCAATAAAGACTGGGAAAAAAAGTAGATTTTCACAATACCTATATTTTCACTTCTAGGACCTCTTACTCTCAAATTTACCTGTATAAAGTGCAAACAAAAAAAAGGGGCTTATGAAAAACAAAAATACAGTTTGCCTGAGGACTTGGCAGAAATTTAATGCTATGGTTGTATAGGTGTATTAGGAAGTATCTTGAGCCAGAACTTCCCTTGAGTCCCTAAATGATGGGTTCAAACTTCTTCCCATGCTATGCCTTAGGATGTTATCCCATCTGTATCTCAGAGATTTAGTTCTTTCCTCCAGGAGGTAATTTATATTCTCAGGACTACAGTGCAAGTAGTGCACTTTGTATGCCTTAGACACCTCAGCAGCATGAATTCAAGCTGTTTCAGTGGTTTTGGACAGAAGAAAACTAAAAATAATAGTGGAGGATCAGCATAGCTTTGCACTCAGGTAAGGTGGGCTAAGCTGAGATCATTCCCAAAGCATAGCTTTGCACTTTATCTGTTTCTGGCGGGTACAAAAACTGGCATGGCAAACTGGATGGACAATTTCAGGTGTTTTGTGCCACTGGAATGGGAGAACAAAAGGGTGTGATGGTTCTTAGAGCACTGCAAGAGGATTTCTTTCATGTTGGCATCCTATTTGCATTGTCCTGTGAGCATCCATGACTCCTGGCTTAGGAAAACTTATGCATGCCTCTTGTTCAGGGTTCTATGGTTTACAACTCTAGGCCAAGCCAGATCAGTTCTAGAGTATGTCACAAGCATCTTTGTGTTGAGACTGACCACCTTGCAGGGGAGGTAATGTGCTGCTCTTGGCCAGCCTTGCAGAATTCTGTGCAGTGGCTTTGTCCAGGATCTGCTGGAGTGTTTTTCCCAATCTTTATTTTCCTCTCTCCCAGAAGTGCCAGATATTGTCAAACATAACTAGTTACTGAAACAGTTCAGTTCAAATCATCTGTTTTCTTCATAATTTAAAGTCACGCCAGACATACTCTTTAAAATCATACATAAAAGACAGTTAAAGTTCAAGGTACAGGCTAAACTAGAAGGAATTTGTTCTCAACACCCATGAATTAACCTAGTTTTAACCAGGATTTTAAACCATTTATGTGAATAAGTCCAGACAGCTTTAAAATGCTTCCAGCCTGAAGAGGAAGCAAAAGGGCTGGAGAGGTTTGTGAACCACCTGCATTTTTATAGAATCACAGAATGGCCTGGGTTGGAAAGGACCTGAAAGTTTATCACCTAATCCCAAGCCGACCAACAATGCTGTTTCTTAAATGCAAAGTAAAGGCTCTTACTGCTATTTCAGTGCTAGGGCAGGGCTGGAATATGACACTGCAAATATAAAAGAATTTATTAGGAATCCCCACTAAATTCTTATACTTCTGGGCCCTCTTTTGGCCAAACTTGGAAATGCAAAAATGAGGAATACTTCAAGTAATGGGAATTGCAACTTCAAGCCAAAAGTTACACTAACCAGCTCATGTTTCTCATGCTTATTGGCATGCAAGAGCAATTAAATACAAATTTTTAAAAACAGTATCTCTACACTGGAGGTTCTTACTAATAGTGAAATCAGACAAAAAGTTGCAATAGAAAAAAGTTGCAATTAAAAAAAAAAAAGTCTTGTAATTGGACTCAAACCTGTCTGGTTTAGAGTCAATTAAATCACATAAGGCCTTAAAGTAAAAAAATATTTTTAAATATAAAGTATCCATGTTGTGGTGATAGACTCAGTTTGTTCTAAAAGCATAAAGAACAAAATTTAAGTAATAACTTTATAAAGTAGAAAAATAACTAACCATATTTTTAAAAAACTCATATTTCAAAAAACAACCAATATTTGAAGGAAGACTAATGGTGTGTTGATTTCCTATATTAATTTTTAAATTTAAACTTAATCTTAAAATTAACTTTTCTTTTATCCATGTAAAAAGATCAATGTCTCTGACAGTAATTTTTAGGGATTCCAAGGATTCCTTGGCACTGGGACACCTAGCACTCACCCAAACAAATCCCATGTACAATTTTGGAGTTAGTCAGAACACACTGGCTCTGACCACCTTGATTGGAAGGGGAACAAAACTCTCCTGTAAAGACATGAATCTGTGATGATGTTCCAGGCAGCTTCACCAAGAGAGGACAGTGACAGACACAAGTAAATTTGCAAGTGTAGAGATCCAGTGGCTTTCCATAATGATATAGGAATCAATATAATCAATAATTAGGTGTGGCATTTTCCAGACATTCCATTTTCAGCTGGCAGACTGGTGATGGAGTGGGAAGAATGGATCACAAGCATGACTGGAGTTTGGAACTCTTGTCTACTCAAGCTGCCTTTGTCCCCAGATTCTCACCCTTCTCAGTCACTCTTCACAGTCTCTACATAGATGTGTTTTCCCTTCAGACTTTCAGGATGTCCATGTGATGATATTTGTTGGATTTGGTTTCCTGATGACCTTTCTGAAGAAATATGGATTCAGCAGTGTTGGTTTCAACATGCTCATTGCCGCCTTCGGTCTCCAGTGGGGAATCCTGATGCAAGGATTTTGGCATATGGAAAGAGGGAAAATTTCTGTTAACATCGAAAGGTATGTGTGAATTCACAAAAATTGATATTTCTATGCCTAAAGATATCAGGAGAAGCCATAAACCACAACATCTATGGGGTCAGACTTAACCTGAATTTCATTAAGCCTTACTGTGCACCTCTCCACATCCTTCTGCCCTTCACCTCTGCGGGGACCACTCCTGGTGCACTGGGCCAAAGTCTGTGAAGAAATTTGAGGTGTTACCTTGTGTGTGGGAGGTGTGGGTCCTGTAGAGAGATTGCTCTGAATCTCTGAAGCTGTGGAAGATTTCCAGCAGTAGCACAGCACATCCTGCACCCAGCAGGCATGGAAGGATCTGTCTTTCCATGACACATGGGGTCACAGAAGAAAGGCTGGAGCAGCAAGTCTGTGCACTCACAAGGTTTGCTCTTACTTCTCAAGGAAGGATGTCCATGAGCATCATATTCCAGCAGGGTCTGAACACCAATCACAGAATTAGAGACCTCATGGGCAATGTTTCTAAGCACATTTAATGCCCCTCCTCTTCACCTGTCCTGCCTCTACCAAGGTCTCAGAGTGTTTTCCACATCTGCAGTTCTGTTTTCTGAGACAACTTGTAAACACTTTTGAAATTAACAGCATCAGAACATTACTGAGGGGAAAGAAGGAATGATACAAGTAGCTTCCTAATGCTTACAGGCAGGCATCTCTAGAGGGACCCACAGGTTAGTGCCTCTCTGTGCTCTAAGTTTTTGATCAATTTCTGGTTTTATTTACCTTTGCCAATCCCCAAAACACATTAACACTGGTCCTGCCTGACAGCTTATGCAAAGATGATGCACAGAGACAGACAGGTGTGCAAGGCTTCCAGGATTATATAAACCATCTGAAGAAAGACCTCACTGTCATCTTTGAGGCCTAGGTGGCAGTCAGGGCTGGAAATTGAGAGGCTGGAACATGTCCAGAGGGAAAAGGAGCTGGAGAAGAGTCTGGAGCACAGGTCTGATGAGGAGCAGCCAAGAGAGCTGGAAAGGGGCTCATCCTGGAGAAAAGGAGGCTCATGGGGGACCTTGTGGCTCTGCACAACTCCCTGACAGGAGGGGACAGCCAGGGGGAAGTCAGGCTCTGCTCCCTCTGCACAAATGAGTGACAGGACAAGAAGGAATAGCCTGAAGTGACGAGAAGAAATCACACCAAGGGAGGTTTGGTTGGATATTAGGAAAAATCTCTTCACAGAAAGGGTGGTCAGGCATTGGAACAGGCTGCCCAGGGAAGCTGTGGAGTCATCAGCCCTGGAAGTGCTTTTAAAAACCTGCAGATGTGGCACTCAGGGACATGGTTTAGTGGTGGACTTGGCAGTGCAGGGTAAAATGGTCTTAGAGACCTTTTCCAATCTAAATGATTCTGTGATTGGACTCAATGGTCCCAGAGACCTTTTCCAACCTAAATGACTCTGTGATTCCATGACATCCCTGCACATCCCCATACACTTCTCTTCTGCCTTTGCATCATAATTCCAACCAGCTAAGCACATGGTGTATGCAGGAAGAAACCTTCTACACTTACCCTTCACTAGCTGGTAAGACCCTTACAAATCCATTTGGAAAGGTTTGATTTCATTTTTATCCATGAAGATGAACTTGATCATTTTGTATCTGAAGAGTTAAAGCTCTATAATTTTAATGATATAATTTTAATGGCAGGTTAGGTATTAAACAGCTTTTAAACTTATTTTCTTTTATTTTTGTGTTTTGGGTTCTTGTTTTTGTTTTCTTTTTCTTAACTTCAGCATGATAAATGCAGACTTCAGTACAGCAACTGCTTTGATTTCATTTGGAGCACTCCTGGGGAAAACAAGTCCCATTCAGATGCTGATCCTGACTCTTCTGGAGATCACAATGTTTGCATGCAATGAACATCTAGTTACCAAAGTATTCAAGGTACAGCTATTTAGCAATCATTGTTTTCTCTTTATAACAAATGCTTTCACTTTTTTATACTTCCAATTTTCTTATGCTAGGCTCTTATTTCTACCACAGAATTAAACCATTAAGTCCTCCAGACTTCTTGTTCATCAGACCCTTGTCTTTATGCTGTATAAAGTCTCTGGCATTATTTTTGGTCCCTGTTACAGGCTACAGATGTTGGAGCTTCGATGACTATCCATGCTTTTGGAGCTTATTTTGGTTTGGCTGCAGCTTTCGTCTTGTACCGTCCTGGTCTGACAAACAAACATGATAATGATGAATCCACCTATCACTCAGACATGTTTGCCATGATTGGTAAGTGAAGTAATATCAAAAGCTGATCAGCTGTTCATCCCTCTCCCATCCCTATTTTTTTCTGATTACCTATTATTATGCTACATTATTTTCCCTAAGTACACTTCTGGAGGCAAATTTTACTTTTACTCAAACTTTACTTTTACAAATTTTTCCTTTTACTCTCATGCATGCACCATATTTTCAGTGGCACACATATTTTTACAGTTTTTCCTTGCTTCCAAGGATGGAAAGATCAAATAAAATATGTGTTTTCACTGTGCATTAGTGGTGACTTCCTTTCTGTTAAATCTTGTACTTTTCAGCAGTACTTCCAAAGAAATTGTCCATAATTAAAATGATTGAGTTGTGCCTGTCATGGTAATGAATATCAGAAACCATATATCTATCTGTCCATGAGAACTGTTCATAGATCAATTCACCAGCTAAAACTTTCAGTTGTATTGATAGATGATAAAGGATTTGCATGCGAATTGTGTTGCCCCTGCCTCCTGCTCTGGCCGGGGTTCACAGTGGTGGTGAGCTCTGACAGTGAGAGGGGCATTACAAGGGGTCATTAAAGCCTTCCAGTAAGACTTGACAAGAGACCATGTGTCAATATCCCAGCTGCAGTGTCAGAAAAGCTTCTGCATATTCTATTATTTCTTCCAGAATTTTGGCTATTCCATGTTTCTCATTAATCGTCATCCTCATTTCTTTGTAGCTCTGATGTACTTGCCCTTGTGACTAAACAGCTTTTGCTTTGTTTTGACTTCTACTCATGCAGGTACCCTGTTCCTTTGGCTTTTTTGGCCCAGTTTTAACTCTGCCATTGCAGAAGCCCAGGTTACAGCCATTATCAACACTTACTACTCCTTGGCTGCCTGTACCATCGTAACATTCGCCCTCTCCAGCTTGGTGGACAAAAGAGGCAAATTCAGTATGGTAAGAATCACATCATAACCCTTCTTAAATCGAGTCAACCCTCTCCAACAAGGATGAGTAGGCAGATTCCCAGTGTCCATCTATCTGTCCAGGCTATCTGGAGCCTTTCCACATACTATGGTCACAATTAGAGATATTTTACTTGTAAAACCTCTAAAGTCTAATTAGAAGTGGCTGAGAGAGCTGGCGGGGCTTAAGAGAAAAGGAGGCTCAGGAAGGATCTTCTCACTCTCTACAAATCCCTGAGGAGGAAATGTTCAACCAGGTGGGGCTTGGTCTCTTCTTCAAATACCAAATGACAGCATGAGCCTCAAGTTGCATCAGGGCAGATTTAGACTGGATATTAGGAGAAATTTCTTCACAGAAAGGGTTGGAAAGCAGTGTAGTGGACTGGGAACATGTTGGTTGTACTGGTTTGATAGTTGGATTTATTAATTTCAAAGGTCTCTTCCAGCCTTAATGATTCTGTGGTGATTCTCTCTCGTTCACAGAACCTGCTGGACTATACAGACATTAGTCCAGTGTTCAGGAGGATTTTTGAATCTTATTCCAAAGTTCCTACTTGAGTTTCCTTATTACAACAGCTAAAATATGTCTCTCAAGCAAATGAGCCATTCCCTGGCAATCTCAGTGCATCTCCACTGTGGTGGTGTTCACAGGGGTCCCAGGACGAGAGAAGAGATGAGAATCTTGACTCCATGTTTCAGAAGGCTGATTTATTATTTTATTATATATATTACATTAAAAGAAAATGATATATTAAAACTATACTAAAAGAATAAAAGGAAGGATTTCATCAGAAGGCTAGCAAGGAAAGGAATGGAATGATAATAAAATCTTGTGACTGACCAGACAGTCCGAGACAGCTGGACTGTGATTGGCCATTAATTAAAAACAACCACATGAGACCAATCAAAGATCCACCTGTGGCATTCCACAGCAGCAGAAAATTATTGTTTACATTTTGTTTCTGAGGCCTCTCAGCTTCTCAGGAGAAAAATCCTAGTAGAAGGATTTTTCATAAAATATGTCCGTGACATGCCACAACAGACAAAACCAAATCAGCTTCTGTCCCCTTGCCCTAAAATCCAGCTCAGTGTTCATCCACTCCTTTCCAGCAGCTGCAGTTATTTGTCTGAGCCCAGCACGTGCAAGGGAGCCTTCAGAGGCACTCAGCCCTAAAAGAAGCCACTGCTCCTCCTGTGTCACCTCTGCCTTGCTCTGTGTCCCCTCTGCAGGTTCTCATTCAAAATGCCACCCTGGCAGGAGGTGTGGCAGTGGGTACCTGCGCTGACCTGGAAATCCATCCTTTTTCTGCCATGTTCATTGGCGTCATTGCTGGAATTGTCTCTGTCCTTGGGTTCCAGTTCCTGACTGTAAGTATTGGGGACCCAGCTCTGCTCCCATTTTTTATTTCTCTTTGGCTTTCCTGGAGCTCCCTTGGTTTGCTACAAAGGGAGGATAGATACAGTGAATCCAGGTAATGGTGACTTTTATTAATGATTTGATTCTCGTACTTCTGCTCTTTCTTTTGCATACCATCCAGAGATCATGGAAAACCATAAACTCACTATAAACTTCCTATTTCCCCTCATTTCAGCCTGTGATGGCATCCAAGTTGAGAATTCAAGACACTTGTGGAGTTCATAACTTACATGGTCTACCTGGAATTCTGGGGGGCATTGCTGGCATTGTAGTGACTGCGATAAAAACAGAAACTAGGTGAGTTATAGAGAGAAGAGAGAAAAGTTTTTTGATTTTTGAAGGTCTATTATTTTTGCTACCTTATTTGGATTATGATTTTTTTTCAGAAATGCATCACTGATTTGATGTCAGGCATTGTATTCTCATTTAATTTGCGTTCTTCTTGATCTCCTGCCTTTAACACAATGTTTAAATGCCAAGCTTGTTACAGACTAAAAGCTCAAATAAAAATAAATAAATTAAATAATCAAAAAGAAACAGCACACTGAACCATTCAAACATAGAAAAACCTTTAATATGACTCTACAATTGCACTGTTGGTATTTGTAAGATTTTAAAAAAAATCAAGGCAAAATGGCTTTTTTCCACTAGCTCATAAGACTCCAAAAAGAGGAAATGCTGGTTGTTTTGACAACAGGGAGTATTCTCTAATGGCTTACAGGACATTAATAACCTTCTCAAAGAACTTGTTTTCAACTGTAGCCCAAAAGAACGTTAAAGTCATGACTTCTGTCTTGTGTACAGCAATGGCAGGATTTGTGGCACTCAATGTTCTTGGAGATCTTTTCCAACCATAAAGATTCCAGGATATTTTCCTATCAGTCACCTTGTCCAGCATGCAGCAAGTACAAGTTGAGACTGATCATCAGTCTCAAAGTGTAGCAATTTTTTGATGGGCAATGGTTTGGTTTTCTACCCTTTTCAGGAATGGTCACACGCTTACTCCTGCCATGCAGGCTGCTGCCCTGGGAAGTACACTTGCAATTGCAATTGTGGGAGGAGCACTCACAGGTCAGTGTGATGCTTATAGTGACTAAAAATATATGTGAATTTAGAGGTTTCTCCATGGAGAACTTAATGTATCAACAATTTTGTGTGACTAATACAAAATTGAAATAATGGGTCCCAATGCCAGAAACTCAAATATGGAAAAACAGTTCTCCAATGTTTTCGTCTTCAAATGAAGTTCAGGTTTGTCAGGAAGAATTTCTTCACTGAAAGGGTGGTCAGGCATTGGAAGGGGCTTCTCTGGGATGTGGTGGAGTCCCCATCCCTGAAGGTGTCCAAGGAGTGACGGGGATGTGGCACTCAGGGCTCTGGTCTGGTTGACAAAGATGGTGTTTGGTCTAGGATTGGACCTGATAATCTTGGAGGTTTTTCACAACCTAAATGTTTCTATGATTCTGTGATTCTATATATCTCACTGAATACATGGTCCGAAGATACTGGGTTTTATATTTATAAGAATAAAAAGGTGTTGTTCTGGAAGGAATTCTTCTCCAGATGCAGACACTTCAAATTCTGAGCAGAAACTAGTCTGAGATCAAGACCTACTCAATGAGGTGTCACACGTTTCCATGTGTTTGTGAATAAACAAACAGAAAATCAAGCTGAAATAGAAAATTTTGGTCTGTAATCTGGTCAATTAAAAGCAAGCTGTTATTTATGCTCTTATTTATGTTTGTATGAAGAAATCTGCATCACCTCTCAGAGTAACTGACCTGATGTCCCCAGGATGGTTGAGCATTTCTGTAGATGAGGAAATCAGTCAGGAAACTTATCTGGATGTCTAGGGCACATCTGAGGGACATTCTTTGGTCATTTTCTTCATTTTTTAAACCTCTGATGCTGGTTTTCCTGCAGGTGCTATTCTAAAGATCCCCTTCTTGGGACAAGTATCTGACCAGAACTGCTTTGATGACTCTGCTTATTGGGAGGTAAGACACAACTCCTTTTATTTTCATTATATTGGAGGATGTACAGTCGCTGCAGCCTCGCTCTCCTGGGCTTTGTGGTTTGCACACACGAGTCAGAAAGGCTGCCTCTTCAAAATTCAAAAATCCTGCTCTACCTCAGGCTGTGAATTTATCAAGGCCAGGCGAACCTTCAGGATAATTTTTTGGCCTTCTTAGGTAATTATGCCTTTTGTATTGGACTCACCTTGAACAAAAAGCAGAAATAGAGACAACAAATTGATATCACAGTGGAGGCCTTTATCTCTCTCTTATGTGCTCATTGTATCAGGTATCCTCTTCCTTATCAGAGACTGATGACATATTCTTAATTTAGGCAATCTGAACTTTATCATTTTATGCCAGGACAAACCCAAAAAGGCAAGGGAAGAATATATAATATACATTCCTTGTAAATAAAATGTGAAGTTAAAGGAAATTTTATTCACTTTTTTCAATAAATTAAACACCTTTTTCTATGAAGAAAAACCCTGAGTTCATCCCTCAGTATCCAGAATTGATGGCTCATGTCAGGCTGTGTCAATGTTAATAAACAGACTTATATTATATACAAATAGAATTACATTTTGGCACAATTTATTCTTCTTTTATGACAAAAGCAAATCTATATATCCTTAACTGAGCTCTTCTTTGTTTTTCATGGCAGGTTCCAGAGGAGGAGACAGTGCCTGAAATTCACTCCAGCCACCGTGATGAGCACAGCAGATTTGAAGCTGCCATGTAGAAAAATAATTAATCTGCAGTATTTGTCCTAATGATGTTCTTTTCTGTTTCTAATGCTAAGAAACAATGAAACAACATCCAAGTATTGTCCCAGCCACACCAGATTTTCAAGGAAAGGCTGAAGATATGTATATTTTTGTAAAAGAAAACAAGTTTGATTTTAGATTACTTAGTCATTATACCAAGCTCAGGTGAATAAATTAGGTCCTTGTTCATCAGAAAAAGGCACCACAAATTGCTCTTTAAAATTATCTATATTTTATCTTTTGTTGTCGCTGACAACAATATAGCTGTTTAAATAAACTTTGGGTTTCAAGATTATTACAGGACAATATATTTAATTGTGAGACTTCTGAGTTACATCCTTCAACTCTATAGGGGTAATCAAGAGGAAATTAATTGATATTTTTATATGGACTTGAACAAACTTTCACCAGAGTATCCCAGCTTACATTTTTGAGAAAGTGTGTTGTCCTGTTCTCTGATGGAGGAGAAAGCATGCTGTATTTTGAAGCTTGATTATGACTGAAAGCAAAATGTTGAAATAATTCTTATGTCAAAGCACAGAATACAGTGATTGATAAGGCAATATGAGTATCAAGATTCATTGTTAATATGTTTATTGAAAGAGAAAAGAAAGTGAAATTGTAAAAAAATCATTATTGTCATAGATCTATTTATTTATTATCATAGATTTAGTTAGTTTCAAGGACATAATAAGAGAACTGTGTAGGAGCTATGAAAACCAAGTGATTGCATAATAGGTTTTATTCCATTCAACAGTAATAAGTGGATTGTAGCAGTGTTAATGTCAAGAAATATAACCTGAACTAATGCCAGCTCCAGAAAAACATGAGTTGTTTGGAACTGATTGGAAAGAAATTATGTTCAACCTGCAGAAGACTGGGCAGAGAGCTTCCATGGGGCGAGTCACTGACTCTGAAGTCTCTTTCTCCTAAAAGAAGGGAAAGCAAAAAGAAGAAAACTGAAGCTAAATTAAGGGAAATTAACTTCATCAGAGAAGTGGTGACAGCAGCTGCTCAGTTCAGAGACAAAAACTGAGGTGTCTGAAGGAACTCCATGAGGTGCCTTGGTGCATGGGATAATCCATTGAGAGACAATGGATGGGAAGTGGAACTCCAGCAGAAGGAACACAGTGCCTCAATCCATCATTCATGGGAAGCTACTGCTGATGTCTGAATAACAGGCCAAAGAGGGTGAACTTTCAACCTTTTTTTTAATACTAGGATCTTATTTCAAGTTTTACTTATCAGACTTAAGGGAAAAATTCCTCTCATATAAAATGGCACATACATTTTCATTTCTGCTCATGTATTTTTCCTTGAAAATCTTTAGAAAGATACTAGGTAGGGCTGTCCCATATGTTATACCTGCTGTATACTGCTACATATGTCAGATTTCTATCCATTAATAAAAATACATTTGTTGTATCACACTTTAGTCCAGATAAGCTCTTTTGCAGATGTGCAATGACTGACTCTTTTCTACCTTGTTGGCTGTAAGATGAACTTTATCCTCTCAAAGCTGTCACACATTCATTTTTGTAAAAATTGGGGAAGCATTTAACAATGTAAATATTGCATTTGTAAAAATTTTAGAAGTATTTTGTGCATACTTTATGAAGTATTGAAGTACTTGAAAAATATTCCATCTCTGATCAGCCTGTAAAAATCTCATCTTCAATACATGAATTTCACCCCTCAAATTCCTGCTTGGGAGTTCAGAGGGTCTTTCATTCACCTTAAAGCAGGTGAGGTAATTTCACTAGTTTTGAGTGCTGACCACACAGGAATACCTGAGTGAGGAAGCATCACCCACTGGCAGTAAATTAATAATTTGAATTATAGAATCCTTAAGGTTGGAAGATACTTCCAAGATCATCAAGTCCAACCTTGGATGGATTCTCATCATGGCCAGCAAACCACATTGAGAATGCCATGTCTACTCACTTCTAGAACACTTCCAGGGATGGTGAGTCCCCTGCTTCCCTGGGGAGCCTGTTCCAATGTTTAACCACTCTTCCAGTGAATAATTTTTTCCTAATATCCAACTTAATCCTTCCCTGGTGATTGATGCCCTCCATAATGCATTTAGGGGTTCTTTTAAAATCCAAAAGGGAAAAAATGAATTGTACATTTTTGTTCTCCAGTTCTCCTTATAATCTTTCCATAGTAATCCATACCCTCATCCTCTCAGTATTCATTGTCCCCAAACTTCTTTTTCAGAAGATTCCTCCCCCAGAGAAATCAGTCCCTTAGGGTCTTTCAAAAAATGGAGTAAGGAGATGAATCCCTTTGTTTAACCAGAGCTTTAAATGTTTGGTTTTTTTCCATGTGACTGTGCCCTTGAAGTATACTATTTGTTTCTCCAAAGGTTTTTTACCCTAATTGCTCACATCCACATTGCAAATGCCTGCAGCATTTGGTTCTCTGGCTTAGGGCATTTTCTTTGATTGGTTATTTCCCAATTAATCAAAGCTTTGAATACCTTGAATCAGCAGAGCTTCATTAATAATTAGTTGCAACTTCTGTGCAATACATGACTGGATGCTTAAAAGCTGAAATTATTTTACTAAAAACCCTTTTGTTCTTCCACGAGGAAGCCTTACACTGGCAGGAAAGGAAAGTAAGAGTTAAACAAGACATGGAGTGAAGGATGAGCTTAAAGGATGGAACTGAAAAGTCAACAAAAGTTAAAGTACAACTACCCTAAATTTGAGGCACATGATCATCAGCATTTCTTTTCTTTCTCATAAAAGACTGGCAATGTTTTATCCCTTCCAACAACCATTCAACACTCTTCCTGTCATACCTTTGTTCTTACTTTGACTTTTTTTACATTAAGAGAGCTTAAATAAAGTGTTGTGGGGTGGTGGTTTTTTTTTGTTGTTTTTGATTTTTTTTTTAAATGAGTAAAACTTCAATGATATCTTCTTTAAACTAACTAAAGGTCAAACTCACTTTAAACTAACTAAAGGTCAGGCTTACTTGTCAACCCTTTTCAGAATACCAGTGGGTGACCATAGCTTTGAAGGCTGCTGTATAGTTCTCCATTCCTACCTCTGTCAGAGCAGTATTTCCTTAATGAAAAGAAAATGTATTTGAAAGCCATTGGCTGAATATTTGCTTACAAAATTCCTTTTAACATTTGTGCTCAAATCTGCTGCTGAATAAATGGGTTAATTGAATGATCAGATGACCAACTGTATTTATTTAACATTTCTTGGGGGTGTCTTCTTTCTCTCTTACTGGGATCAACCTTTTCCCAAAATATATTCTCAAATATATTATCTCAAATATAATATTCTCTATATATTATTTCTCAAAATATATATAACAAAATATGTCTCCTCTTGCCAAAGGAGAGCTCTCCCTGTTCTTCTAAGCCTCCTGCAAACTGTTTACCTTTCAGCTTCCTCTCATTTCCTTGCTATTAGTTAAACTCCAGATATATGCGGAAAACTGGACATTTTCAGTGCCTTTTTACCCACTCTGGAAAAGTCAAGTAGAATCAGGCAAACTGGAGCACAGCTGAACGCTGACCATGGACTTTTTCCAGGATATCTTCCAGGTAGGTGAAATGTCCTGATGTCTCCTCTGGAGCCCTGGGGTCAGCAACAGGCTCAGGGTGAGCCAGGCCAAGAGCAGCCTTGCTCAAGCCCCTCTCCCAGCCTTGCTCAAGCCCCTCTCCCAGCCTTGCTCAAGCCCCTCTCCCATCCTTGCTCAAGCCCCACTCCCATCCTTGCTCAAGCCCCTCTCCCAGCCTTGCTCAAGCCCCTCTCCCAGGTTTGCTCAAGCCCCTCTCCCAGCCTTGCTCAAGCCCCACTCCCATCCTTGCTCAAGCCCCTCTCCCATCCTTGCTCAAGCCCCTCTCCCAGCCTTGCTCAAGCCCCTCTCCCAGGTTTGCTCAAGCCCCTCTCCCAGCCTTGCTCAAGCCCCACTCCCATCCTTGCTCAAGCCCCTCTCCCATCCTTGCTCAAGCCCCTCTCCCAGGTTTGCTCAAGCTCCTGTCTCATCCTTGCTCAAGCCCCTCTCCCAGCCTTGCTCAAGCCCCTCTCCCAGGTTTGCTCAAGCCCCTCTCCCAGCCTTGCTCAAGCCCCTCTCCCGGGCTCCCAGCCACGTGCCAGGGCTCTTTTCCTCTAAGTCTCTGCTGCCCCATTCCCTGGGGAATGCCCCCATTCCCTCCTCTCCTCTGCCTCTGGCCATGTCTCTGCAGGGACCTTGACACTGCAGGGACCCTGGGGAATGCCCCCATTCCCTCCTCTCCTCTGCCTCTGGCCATGTCTCTGCAGGGACCTTGACACTTTTGGGAGAGGAGGACAAGGGGCTCAGCCTTGAGGCACTTCACCTCACACAACTTTCAGGTTCTGGCCTCAAGGCCACATGCAACTTATGTTCAAGATTTCTGCCAGAAAACTCTTCCAAACATTGTTCTGTGGGCTGTGACTCAACTTTTCTGTCCAGTCTTGCCCTTGGCTTGCTCTTTCAACACGTCCTCCTCTGCTGTTCACTCTCTGAGACACCCGAGTTAGCTGTACCTCAGCCCCCTTTCCTCAGCCAACAGAAGATGTCTTTTCCCAGTGCTGCGTCCAGTTGTGGGATTCCCAGTACCAAGGAGATATGGACAGACTGGAGAGAGTCCAGCAAAGGGCCACAAAGGTGCTGGAGTGATTGCAACATCTCTCACATGAGGAAACACAGAGAGGTGGGAGTTCAGCCTAGAGGAGAGAAGGCTCAGCAGGATCTTATCAGTATAAACACCTGGGGGGAGGATCAAATAAATCAGAGCCAGACTCTCCTCAGTGTGTGCCCAGTGCCAGGACCAGAGGCCATGGACACACACTGAAACACAGGCGGTTCCCTCTGAACATCAGGAAACATTTTCATATTGTGAGAGTGACTAAGCACTGGCACAGGTTGCCCAGAAGATGTGGAGTCTCCCTCCTTAGGGTCATATAATTTTTTTAGGTCCTTGGAGATGTTCAAAACCTGTCTGGACATAGGCTGAGGCAAGTGGCTCTTGGTGACCCAGCTTGAAAGGGGGATTGAACGAGACAAATTCCAGAGTCCTCTCCAACCTCGGTAATTCTGTGGTTCTGTGATTTCAAATTCCCAATGAATTCAATGGAATCAAAGTTATGCCACCCATAAACAGTTCTGTGAAAAGGCCTGGGAAGCATGGGAGAAAGCAATTACACAATCTGAAATCAGGAAAGGTGTCCTATTTCCTCAAACCTTGAGAAAAATAACAGACTGTCAGGCTGATGGGTTTATTAGAGGCCTGCAACTGGGTTATGTGTGAGGAACTGAACAGAGATTCTCACACTAAGTGTGTGAGTACTGTCTTAACTCTGCAAAAACAGGTTCATTAGGGATGAATCAGCTTGTGAGTCTCACATTCATACACTAAGCATATATGTACTGTCTTAACTCTGCAAAAACAGATACATCTGCTCTCAGCTTGTGTCTCACATTCATACATCACACACTTTAAAAAAAATTAATCTCTTTGCACTACACTCCTGGGCAGTGGAATTTTGATTCCTCAGGGGTATCAAGGATATCTGTGCTAAGGGCAAAAACATGATTAATCAGTAACCTGGACAGCGTGCAGAATTTATGGCTTTTATAGCAAATGTCAGGTTGATGACCTGAAGTTATCCCTGTTCTTGGACTTTCACACTTGCCCAGTGACCCATACTCACCCAGTTACATTGGTTAGCAAACATATATATGCCCCTGTACCCTTCTGAGGATTCATTAGGAAGCACATGGGAAGAGAACAGGTCACCAGCCACGATTAAAACATACAAAAGAGGTTTATGGACTAACACAAGAGCCTCTCAAGCACAATCTCAGGAGGACAGAGATCCAGAGTCCACATTTTCTCTTTTCTGTGGCAAATACTCGGCTGAATAGAGATGGGCTGGAACAGCAGCACTTCCATTGGTTTTGTGTTCATCCTGGCTTTTCTCTCCATTTTGAAAACAGCAGGTTTCTGGAACAGCAGCACTTCCACTGTTTTAGTGTTGATCCTGGCTTTTCTCTCCATTCTGAAAACAGCAGGTTTCTGGAACAATGACCGAAGACAGAACTTTCCTCCAGGTCCAAGACCATTACCTATAATTGGAAACCTTCTTTTGTTTGACTTGAAGAGACCCTACAGGACTTATCTACAGGTACTCCTTTTCTGTTGGTCCTATCAATCAAGCCCCATAGGCCAAGATGTCAGAGAGTTTCTCCTGTTGCATCCAATGGATTGCATCCATGCATGAGCCTTTAGCCAGCGACCCAGCGATGGTTATTTGAGCAGAAAATGTTGAATGTAGCATGGTTTCTTTACTGTAATATTTTATCCAGGTTTCAGCCTTCCACAACTTTCAAATTAATAGCAAGCATCCACCTTATTTTGGTGGTAATTTTGAGAAAAAGACAA